CAGAAAGAAGCAGTTATTAGTCTTTCCTTGCCATGGTAACTGAATGTCTTTATTCTCTCATCTGATTACGTAATCTTTGTCTTTACCCTCACCCCTCTTTTTTTTTTTTAAATCTGTAATATTGCTTGTCTCTTGTTTCTATGGCGTGATTTGAACTCAGAACATCGTTACAAAATTTATTAGTTACTCATCATCTTACTCACCTCTCGTCTTTATTACGTAACTCATTTTACCATTGTATGCATACATCTATTTTGTTTAAACTTGAACTGCCTGTGAAAAAACTATATAAGCGCAATTTTCTGAGCACTGTTCACTTACTGTGGAACATTCTGTCAACTGACAACATGTAAAATTTGCAAGTATGTAAAAAACTTTTCTGTACGTAAACCTCACAATTTATTTAGGCTGTAAGCAGCTGATGAGAAGCCGACGAAATAAATGATGGTACCATATTATTCTGCACAAACCGCTGTTGTTCTTGCTTTATTTAAATACACACATTGTGTGGACAGTCACGGTAAAGAAAGGGGCTGCACGAATCGGATGAATTCAGATTATGTCTTCTTTAGCCACAAAACTTCCCAGTAGCAGTTGAACTGGTAAATACACATGCAGGAGGTGAAATTAGATAGTTTGTCTTTATTTCGTGAACTAAGTATTATTTTACAAATAATTATTGTGTAGTGACTTATTGCTAAGCTCTACAAATTAAATTAATTTGTATTTCGTAATTATTTTCACCCCTCAAATACCTCAAAACTGACAATTATTAGTGATTAACATAACTAGACGATTGGCATAATTTTGTTATAAAACCATATGTATTAGTGTAACTCTGTTAATTAGGAAATAGTTGAAAAAGGGGTGCAAATGTCTTCACTCAATTTTTTTTCTCAATGTTTAAATTGGATTTTTTCAATTGCTGAAATTCTATCTTTTCTAAGGGGCAAACTACTATGCTTGTCAGTAAATATATGCTATTCAGACAGCTAATAGTTGATTTAGGTATGTTTTATGATCAAATAAATGTACAGTTCTACACACCTGTATACTGTTCTAATTAATCTCCATCAGGAAATAGTGAATGTTAATTTGGCTAAGTCAGGCTTATGTATAATGATGCTTAGTGAAAGCAGAAAGAAATCGATATCGTTTCAAGATTAAAATTAGCAACTTGTAAATAACCAACTGAGCTGGCTGGGTTTAATTTAAGCTCATAAGTAGCACGAAACTGAACACGCAATCAACCACTGATGACTAAATTCAAATGAATCAGAATTAAATAATATGGGGATAGGTTGATCAAACCATTTATGATGACAGTATAGAATATCACACACCTATCTAAATGTATGATTATTTTTATACTTACGTTGTTGATAGTCCTCTGAACAATAAAATGTTCTCAATAACAGGCACTCACTGTTAGATAGAAAAAGCGTCTGTTGGTGCTCACGTCATTATTGCAAAACGAAGGAAAGGCACTTACCGATTGGAAGAAAGGCTGTTTACACAGTCAAGCTGCCGAAGAAGGGCGACTTACTGCTCACTTTGCAAGAACTGGGGTGGAATAATGCTATTGTCTGAGTCAAGTAAAATACTAAGTTGTATCATCCTGGAGAGAATAGAGGATGCACTGGAAAGAGAAGTCTTCAGTCCCACCGGAACAATCAGGATTGAGAAAAAGCAAGTCATGCACTGATCAGATTGCAACTCCACACATCATCATCACAGAACAAAGTAGAGAATTGCAGTGAAAGATTCACCAACTTCGAAAAGGGCTTCACTAGACAACCTTGACGGACAAGTAATCTCGAAACTTCTTCAACACTACGGCGTCCAGAACCAAAGTCTTTATCAACCTCATTCAACTTCTGCCTGACTATATGACAATTCCACGTGTCAGTCAGGTGATCCACAACCGAAAACTTAGCGAGGCGTTCGAAGTGCATAAATCAGTAAGACAAGCTGGCTGGCTGTCTATTATCACCGATGATATTCTTAATTGTGGTGCTCAACTGGATTAGGCGTCAGACTGTGCGTTAGGAGAGAGGACAGAGGAATATCCTGGACCACCGATAACAAGACTCTAAAATATCTGAATTTCGCAGGTCACACAAACTCTAAGAGCTGCATGTAGGCTTAAACCAACAAACTGCCTGAAGACGTGAACAGCGAAGAAAGAACTGAAAGTGAACACAGAGAAGACGGAGGTGGTGAAGATAACCAACGAACAGCGACAACAAAAAACAACCAGCACTTATCACCATCAACGGGAGAAATTTAACAGAGATTGTCTCCTTCACCGATCCGGCTAGGAAGCATCGTTTCAACCACAGGCAGTCGGAACACATGAAGATGTCAAAGCCAGTCAGAATCGGAAAGGCGAGATACGCCTTCATCAACCTGAAACTAATTTGGAAATCTTCTGCACTCAACATAAGCAACAAGATTCGGATTCTATACAAAAATGCGAAGTCGGTCAGTTCTTTTATACGTTGCAGAAACTTGCACTGCGTGTTACGAAAAGGATTTCCAACAGGCTACTGCAGACTGTTATCAACAGCTGCCTTCAATGGCTCCATACTGAAGGTAAAATGGCTGGCAAGAGAGAATTAGTAACAAGAGGCTGTGCAACAAACCAGCCAATAGCCTATTGTTCAACAAATATGTAGGCGAAAATGGAGATGGATTGGGCATACACCAAGGAGGTCGTCGAATGAAATCGCGCACAATGCAGGCCATCGCTCGAGTGTAACCTGAATTGGAAGTGACGAGTGGGTCGTCAGTGCGATGGTGACATGGAGCAGATCGTGTGAGGAAGAGATGAGATATTATGGGCAATCGTAGACACAGCTGAAGAGGATAGCAGAAAGTAGAAAGTGGAGATGTGTTGTTGAAGCCCTATGTTTCACTCGGAACCCAAGGGAATAATAATAATAGTGACTATCCACCAATAAGTGACCTGAACTCTGAAAAATAAATCTCAGACACTAGTAAAAACAACACTTCAGTGTTGTGCTACTTGGTCTGAAGGCCAATCGGCATACCTGATCGACAGATGTTGATCATCATATAACACAAGAAAATGTCATTGGTTGTTTATGACAAATTATTTCTGCACGCAACTGTTAATTAATTCACAGGCTGAATTGTGCGATTTCATGATGCACAAATGACGTTATTTAGAAAACAGAACCAGTACCATGTTTCTTTCAAAAATGAACATCATTCAGTAGTCTGATGATATATATATATATACACGATCAGGAAAATTCAGAGTTTCACTAAAATTTAATTTACATAATCAAGCAGTCAGTTCTACATAACTTTATTCATTATGCAATGTATCATGATCAACATTTATTGTCATTGGTAAGGAACTACCCCCTACCCTAAAATATATGATTTCGTAGAGTGAAGCTTCTCACTGAAATGCAGGTGCATTGATCTAGAAAATTCGGATATATTTACTACAATCCGGTAAGTCTTTTTCAGATTAAATAAGATTAAATATCAAGGAAAGAGATTTGAGTAATTAAATGTGTTGACCGATTCATTTATTTCGAAGTTTCACAATGTCTCAATAACTGGTTGTTGAATAAATTTCAGTATGGATACAGAATACTTCGCGTCCACAGACAATGAACATCTTCTTGTCCTTACAGTACTATCTATGTAAATACTAAGGGTTGTGTGTAATGCACAACCTCTTGCTTTCACTTAATTCTCAACTGAAAGACATGGCTACAGAGAGTAGAAGACGTGTCATATATTTTAAATAAGTTGAAACATATGCCTGCTTGACCAACGAATTCAGCCAAACGAAGACCAGGTTGGGGTCATCATACGAAAATAGACTACGTTTGCATGAAGGTGGCGACTATAAGTCAAGCATATAGATCTTTGACACTGCAAACTCTTGGTGACAGTGATCAGAATCGTAATCATTCAAGTAGATGTATTCTCTTCATACAATTTTCCAAATTTTGAACATATATTCACTACTCACAGTGAGTCTGTTTCAGAAAGTTTTGAATTATCAGACTGCTATTGATGTAATAGGCGGTGATTGCAGGTGAATTACTCATTCACATGACAGAAAATCTATTTACATGCCAGTGAAATGATCTGTCTAATAGTTAGCTTTTGTAGCTCAGCTGGTAGAGTGTTGACGTAGCAACATGAGAGCCGCTGACCCGAGTTCTGAGGTGATCATTATTTTAATTTCACCTTCGAAACAGAATTAAATTACTTCTTCCCTCTAATTTGAACAACTTTTTTTCTTTTTTTGTGTGTGTTATATTTTGAAGTGCAGTGACTTGAACTGATGTGCTTCTATGCTAATGCAGTGTTATCTGGATACCAGGTATTTCTGAAGACACTTACCACAGACAACCATCTCCTGAAAACCATCAGGAAGTAATCACTATCTGTCAAGTGAAAGTTATCCGTCAAACATTCATAGTATTTCGTAGTAATTTTGTTGATTTGTCAGGTGAATAGAGCTTGCACTCTTCAGTATCACAGTTAGCTAATCGATAACTGCCGGTTAATCCAACGCATTTTCTAACACCATATATATATATATATATATATATTATAGTGATTCAATAGAAAACGTCTAAAAACACAATCCAGAAAATTCTTTATGATCATGTAAATGTCATTCCTCTTGTCTAGTATCACGACTAACACACAAATATTCTAATTATTTTTAGTCACAAGTGAACATCCGAATAAATTTAAATTCTCTCCTACATTCTTTCAGCATTGACACATTTAACACAATAAATAGACAATGAAACGTATTATGAAGTTCTGTTATGATCATTATAGGAGTATTGAAATACTACATTCCTTTTTAATGATATACATGAGAAAAGCTTAAACTAAACAATAAAACTGAACAGATTAGATAAATTGATTTGTTTTTCTTGCTTTTGTAGTGTTGCTCGCAGTTTGCTTTCATTTTCAAACTTTATGCATCCACATACCTGATTTGATGCGCTATGGCTAGAAATGCCAAACCGTCCCTCCAAGAATGTGTAAAATTGGTAATACTGATACCGGGATAGCTATAAATTTAAGAAAAACAAAAAAAACTTATTCAAGGTCATGCATGGTTGCTGAAATCATCATTAAAGTATACCAGAAATACTGTCGAATAGGAATTTTATTCTTTGGGTAATTGAGTGAAGTTGATAATTATTTTCTCTCATAACTGGTTTATCACCCGATGCTTACAAGTATTGTTTTTTTCCAGTATGTGGTCTGTAGAAGATGTTTTTGAGTTTTTGGCAAGAAAGTAAGATAATTCTGTGGATTGAATCTTTTACTCCACTAGGGTTGCAAATCAATTCAGTGGTGAACATTTTCATAAATAGTGGTCCATGATGTTACAGGACTGGTGCTAAATCCTGTTTTTTAAAATCGCCATAGTCAATGCACCCATTTGAGAATGCAAAGGAAGAGAAATATTTATTTTCATTCAATGATGACTGTATTGATTAAGAGTGTGGTAAGCTGAATGAAAAGAGGCATCCTAAGAATCATGTCATTTTTGAAGTATTTTAAGCTTTTGTAATAACAGCATAATTTTAAGATGAGTCGTTTAATCAGTCAACTGGACTGAAGACATAACTCGACTGCAGCACTGGGTGACGCGGGTTCGAATCTCAGAAGGCACATGAGTTCCTTCAAGGTTGCAGATATGCCATGATGATGAGTGCCAACTAGCACAAAACCTAGGTCCAAAGCTTCCTGCCGATTGCCTCCAACCATCTAATACCTACAATTCACAGTGCACCGTAATGGCGAGCCACCTAGCATGGTGGCCACATTGCAAGCTTTAGTGATAGAATTTAGTCTGCAGCGAAGATAGGACTAGACGCATTACACTAGTTACTGACTAGTGTGCAATCAAAAATATACATAACTTGACTTTGCCTTGTGTATAGTGAGGCTGAAAAATATTCTTACCCTACAAAACTCCTTGGCTGTGTGTGTGGATGCGGCTAATATTCGTGTATTCAGTTGCATAAAAGCCTCCTTAGCTAGATGCATGCACATTCTACTGTTTAGTGATATCCTGTCATGACTTTTCAATCCCAAGGCTTGAGGTGATTACAGCTTCATTTGGTAGTTGTCTTACATTTTTATTTTACTTGACCAAGGCAATTAGTCTGTCTTGATACATCATTTGCTTAGTAAAACGCCTGTATAGTGATTTCAGTCTCATTCTCATATTATTTGCCTCAGAATGCCTAGCAATGGAATTAAAGATACTTTCTTCTCCCTATCGATGGATTCTTTCCAGGAAACACTGATTCCCTGTGTAAAGTAAAATAACATGGGAACCAACAGTTACCAGCAAGTAATAGTCAGACCAAGCATACTCAGAACGAAACTACGGTTTACCACGGTTAGTGAGTTTTACTGTTGTAGGGAATTAGATTCAATTTATGAAGAACGGAGGATATGTAAATCTCTGCACTTCATCAATAATAAATCTTGACGTTGAAACGTATGATTAAAACTTTAGGTGCTTATACTTTATTCATGATGTTTATAACTCAGTCGAAAGGCACGCTGAGTTAAAATGAGACTATTTAAGGTTTAAAAAAAGTACATCAGTAGTGGAAGTTTCTGTGGCTATCTAGACATCAAAAAGTACTTACGAGCCTTTTGACAACTGGCAGATGTAATGCCTACAAACATATTTCCTCTGAAGAAACCATTTTATCTGAAGATGGTTTTAACTAGGAATACAAACATCCATTAAAGAGTCGATCACTTGGAATGTCTTGAAAGTCGGAGTACTTCTCCTCTTTCACCAATATTTTATTCATCAAGGTTGTATGCTGATGAAATATCTCATAGTTAAAGTCGACAGGTCCTATTAAGCTAAAAGTGCCCTATGTTCAAGATAATATGTAAGCTTCTGGCTTACTATCAGAGCCTCTAGTCGTTTTGTCGCTGAGATACTTAACTGATACAGTATTCATTTAAATGAGTAGTAATTTCACGTAAGTACCGTTGCATACTTCACAGTTTATGCACGAGTGATAAGTCACATCATAAAGTGTAAATTATACCATTCTATATTAAGTTCATAAATCAGTTGGCTAACTTTCTCTTTCTTAAATTATAAAAAAAGTTAATCGAAATATTTGTTTATTTTAACCATAAGGCATTAACTGATTTTGCCTAGCTAAATAGAAGTCGAAGCTGAACTCATTGTATTTATATTTTTATTCACCCATAAACGCACATTAATAAATGACTATTGTTCACAGTGCTACAAATGCTACTACAGAGCACGGTAACACACAAAGAGAGGTGGACTAGGATCGGAAAAGCCACTCCAGAAGGGGGGACGAAAATGTGTGGTCATCTTGAAGTGCGGATTTGTGTACACTATGATGAAAGAATATATAGAGATGTCAAAGGATAGAAATCGATAGTTCGCCAGGTATAATCTTCATGAAGCGATCGACACAGCAGCGGAAAAAACTGTACTACGAGAAACCAGAGTGTGTGCTACTTATAAAGAAATATAAGTAGTGTCTAGTCTAGTATCTACTGGTGTAAATTCCGGCGGGGCAGTGAAAATTTAGGTATGAACAAAACCACTGGGAAGAACTATTAAGTCGACGCACAATAAAGATAGAAAGCATTCCTTAATACAAAATGAATAACATTACCAACAAATAATGAAACTATCGCCGAAAAGAGTAACTCTTTGCTGAACGCCTTTTCTTTTCTGTGACTGAATGGGAATTTTCAAATTACTGAAACGTTGCAGGGACCCAGTGACGGTGAAGGAGCTGGACCGTTTCCTGCGTTACTCCGTCAAGCTTGCAGTAGCGAAGGCAGAGATTCAGTTCTTGAGAGAACTAGTACAATGATTTATAATTTTGTTATTGTTCATCGTATTAGGTCTACCCTCGCTAGTCTCATTCTCTTCAGTCCTGTCAATACTACTTCTGTTACTGTCAATCGCTATAACAAGAGACTACTTATCAAGCACTGTAAGCCTCTTTTCCTACTGGGAAACCTGGTAAGTATGGGAGATTGTGAGGTTCTGCTTTTGTCCTGCAAAAGATGGATGTTTAAAACTTGTGCAATAGTAAATGGTTTCTATCAGCATCTTTAACAGAAAACAAAAACATAAGAGTAAGACATTAACTGAAATGATTTACTTAAACCACTTACCCTTCTGTCACTGCAACACACCAAGCGAGTAATCTTTTATCTTGACTTATTAACCATCTATCCATGCATGGTGTTCTTGTTGAAACAAGTGTAGCTGGCGCTGAATGACCAGTTGAAGCAATACTTTGACTTCGTCTAGTTATCGTTGACCCTGATGAACTGATTGATCCCACTAGGTTTGTTGATGGACCTGTCCCAGCTCGAATAGCAACAATTAGGATCCATAGCGTATCCAGACCGAGAACAAGCAAATTAAAGGCAGTTGTTTTCGACTCTGGAGAGTGTTCTGAAAGTAGCTTATCTGAATCGAATGCAGGACTGTTAGTAAATTCAGAAAGTGCAGATTGAACTGCAGATGCTATTTCACTCTACAAAGTAAAATTATATGAAGCAAGTGGTGAAACAAAATCTGTTTTCTTTAATCTCATGGTTCATTCAAATGAAAATAATTTCATCCAGAAATAAATCTTATGAGTTTGTTTTCACAAATGTGAAAGCGACTTGAAAATAGAGTAAAATATGAAGTATAATTTGAAATTTCTGCTGACATTGAGCAGCGTGTAAACTTTCTTCTTTCTTTAATCTGATTCCAATAATTCTGGTATATATTATATGCCAACTTTAATCAGAAGATGTACTATGCTACACTATACTGTTTGATAAGGTCCGTGCCAGCTAACAGTTCACATGTCACTTTTCCATTTCAAGTCAACTTTATAGTGATTAGTCACAAAATTTTATTTGTATTAGACCCAAATTTCAGCACTGATATGTCATACAGTGAATCATACAGTATAATTTACTTGATGGTATTTTGAGCCCACCTCACTACCCATGATCTTAGCAAGATAGTCACATAACTTTTGACAGTCATACAAATACACAGAGAGAAAGATTCTGCGGTGAACAGTAACTGTGAGGCAAAACTTAGCAAATGATATAAATTGTAACACGATGACTAAAGACTGAGGTACAATGTCACTTCACAGCCATTTCAATTTCGCGTTCAAGAAATAAGGATAAACCAACCAATTTCCCCAGCTCTCTGTGTGTCTACCAGTTTGACTGCTTCTGTAGAGCTAGTTACATTAAAGTTACAATTAGGTAGGTTCATCATCGAATTTCTCAACATTGTCTTGTCAGGTAAGGAGAGGAACAAACAGGATCTACTCGTAGCTCTGTTTTAGCACACCTTGTAGATAATGAGCATAAAATTGTTGTTGATAAAGCATTTATTTATTTATTTATTCGACCAATATTAATTTTGCTTCATAAGTTTATCTTCTACATACAACTGAGGCCATGGAAATCCACCGGAAGAAGCCAGACTTATTTATTGATTACTCCTTATTTTTCCAAAATTGTGCATTGTGTAATCCCCTTGTTTGTATTTTGGAATTATTTCTACGATTTTAGTTGTTGCATTAATTTTTTTGGTTAATTATCAGCCCTCTGACAAGTTGGTACTGACAAATATATATATGAAATCATGTAACCAATCAATCAAACCCTTACAATCCAATACTTGAATCCTAAGTAGGTTTCTTAATAAATGTTGAAGGGGATGAATGACTACATTCACTAACAGGCAAACTATCTTGATTTGAAGATTCTACTGACTACACAAGAAAAGACAATCTGGTTCATTCACTGACTATAGAAATGGGTATATGGAACAAAATATCGTAACAGTATTTGTCAGGCGGTCAGTCAGTCCATGGAAGGAGAAACTTCACTACGATAGTTTATTTAGAAATACTTCCTTGGTAGGTGTATGTTTATCAATATATGATAGCTCAAAGGGTGAGAAAGACAGTTGCAAAACTGTAGACGGGAACAGACTGATCATAAACGCTTATCTATAGAACCTATACGTGATTTATGCAAAATAAAAGAGGTAACACATTCTACAGATGTGATAAATGTCTTCAACAAATAAGATCAAATGAATAAGAAATAAACAAACTATGAAATCAGACTGCAGAAAGTTACTTTATTGGTAAGGCTAAAGACATGAAATTGGGCCCTAAATATCCCAATAAACTATGCGTCAAATCAAACAAACATATCTCATAAGGAATTAAGAAACTTTAGATGTTGATCTCTTCGCAGTAGAGGTTAAAATCAGAATTATGCATAATGCAGAAGTAAATATGTCGACGAAATGGTGAATTTTGTAGATAATCTCGGCAAATAAATATCCAGACGATAGATTTCGCAAATTTCCTGAATTGATTTCAGCGCCGAATTATAATAAGTTGTGGCTAATACTGTGGTGAGAGCTGTCTACTAGCCAAATTGGTAGACAGTAATTTACGTCAATGTTTACGTTCTCAAGATTTGTCGTGAGAAAATATGAACAAAGATTGATTCAAAACCGACCACAGCAGACTTTGCGTAGGCGGATACAGTTAACATATAGATGATCTGACATTCAAGAAACAGTCACAAAGAGATGAAAGATTAACTTTAAGTGAGAAACAACCAATCAGAAGACTGTGTTTGTTTGCTTAACTAAACTATAATAATGTACATGAAAATATATAAATATGCTTTGATTTCCTTAATAAACGATCTGTTGCCTGACCCTTGTCTTCTGTTGTTACACTTTTAGCTATATGCGTCTTTACAAGACAGGTAGGATAACGATTCTGTAACAGGGTACTTTTCAGATTTTCATCAGAACATATACGTCTAATTCTTTGACTGCGATAACGAACTAAATTCAGTTCGTACTTTATGAGTATGAAACTGCCTAAGTGGTTGTAATGTCATTTGCAAGTAGCTTTCCCGTAGATGTTTCCCCCTATCGTCAGGTCCATTCTTCTGGTAAGAAGAAAATCCCACCCCGGTATTTTTCTTCACAAGCAAATTTAATAGCTGGATAAATATTATCGAAGACTTGAATTAGATTTGATTTATCAAAATTCTTGTCACTAACAATAAAGGTATCAACATCTCTGTCGGAGAACTATTTCCCAATTTAGCCAGGAAAATTTTGGCTGATAAGGAACCAAGGGAGGAATGCATTGCAGCTCTATTTAATTGTCGATAAAACTTATTAAACCCAAATGTCTGTTAGACTCATCAGTGAGTATCTTTATACTATAAAATAAGATCAATACAACATGCTAGATTTATGTGACAGCCTCCTCTCTAATGTCTGTTATTTGGTGTAAAGGCATAGGCAGAATGATAAGAGATCGTGTTTCAAGGTAATAATGGATTAAACAGTAGTAAAAATATCACAGTAGAAGTCTAGCCAACAATCTCTCACTTTGAAATCTGATTCAACTCACACTCGAACTTCTACCACGTGTGACGAAATCAGCTCCCACTGTATATTCTTTCAATTCATTCTGCTAAACATACAATCAAAGAAACTAAAATAGTTTTTCCGATACGATAGAAACCATATTTACTGTCCAAAGAATACCGACTTCACTGTCCTCCCTGGAAAAATAGAGATTAGAGCAGCATCATAAGGATCCACTGCTTCCAGTTCAATGTAAGGTTCATGATTACCCCAATATCCACGATATTTCATCTCGATAAAGTTTATATCTACCCTCAATAGTGTTTTCACTCATAATACTACTGTAGTAATATTAAATTTATGCTGTAACTTAAAAGCATGAAATAAATGACTAAAGTGTTCTGAAGTATAATTTGATTTCTAGGGACATCCATTGAATAGTTTTACTGTGATTATCAGTTTACCCAAAATTCAAATGAATTAGCGTTTGTTTTTGCAATAGTGTGTTCTATAAACCGAAGTAAATTAGTTGGTTTTATTGCATAAACTTGATTAATTAATCATTGGAATTCAATTTCTGAATTAATTCAGATATCTAGAATAAAGAAGATTGAAATCTTAAGAAATTATCAATAAGAATACGCTTTAGTAGAGAGTACCGTCTCGAATGAGTTGTTCCCATCAAGCAGTCTTTGAAAAATCAAGAACACTCATTTTTCTGTGATTGCAAATAGTGGCAATAAGTTATTCTGATCACAACAAATATATGTAGATGGATACTTCTGGCTTAAATTAGATTTACTAGTTTTTCTTCTATACTTTTTTCAAAAAGTTACTGATGCTTATAATTTATGCTATCACAAAAGTAGTAAAAATACAGTTTCAGACAAAAAATACTTTTGTTTTAGCATGGATAAACACTGAATGAACTGAAAGGTTTCCATTGACTTTAATAACAGGTTTTATTGATCAGATAGATTATTGTTCTGGTGCGTGTAGATTCACTTGGTAAGAAATGCATTGAGTGTAATAGGTGTTCATACGTTATACAGAAAAACTGCATGCACACATGTGTGCAAAAGCAGTATGCAAATGAATTTGAATTTATGTATTGAATTATACGATCAATAAATTTGCATGCAGGATGCACCTATGTATACATCGACTGACAAAGTAGACGCGTGCCCATACATGCACGCACATGTATATTGGGTTTACACTTAATAATATTACCTTATTGTGTGCTTGTACACAGTCGGAAGGAAAAAAACACGACAAAACCATGAAAGAATGAGGTATGAAAGTGTACATCACTCCAAAACAGATTATATATTTCTTCGGGCACTTTTTCTATTTAATGTTACGTATGCTTTGACTACTTGTGGTGTCAAAATAATTCTTTGTTTTAGAAAAACCAGGTCAGAGGTTAGTCGATTAAGCGACTGTGCGAGTGTTATCTGTCGTAAGTCAGAAATGACGAATTATTGTTCAACTCAGCTGTGAGATGTGAAGCTTGAAAAATAGTGTGGAAATGGAAATTTATAAATGTTTAAGAGATTACTGAATTTAGTTCTCCTTGTTTTAGATTGCCTACTAGAATTTAGGCATTAATTTTTTTTCATTCATGCAATGGTAAATATTACACTAGTCAAATTTAAATAATGTGGTTCCAGGCTATCAGCCTACACTAATTGAGAGATAATTTCAAAAATAGAAATTAGAGTTAACTATCCGCATATAATATGACAGCGTTGGTCTGCAATGTCAGTGTCTAACGTATCATCTTTTGATAAAACAAGTGAATGATTAATTTAGGTTTTCAAGTGACTTAGGTACTCTAGCTCACGAACAAATGGTCAGAACATTTAACTACACTAGCATCAAGACTGTAGAGTGTAAGGCAAGTCGCTATGCTCTTCATGTATATTAGAGTAAATAGGTCCTTTGTATATAAATAACTAATAAATATGTCTTATATCGTTGCATAGAGATTAAAATGGTAGTCAGTCATCTACTCCAATTTCATCGACTTTGAAAAGGCTTTTGTAGAGCTGAACTTGACAGATATCCCAACTATTTCAGTACTACGCAGTGCAGCTCGGTAAACGTTTA